TTCCGGTTATACTGCTCAGTAATGGTCCGGATTTTATCTTCTGCGGTCGATAAATATCAGTCCTTACTACTCGATAATACTCGTATTTTGCGCACGCACTCCTTCGATCCTCGGGGACCCTCTGGCCTAGCTCAGCGCTGGTTATGGTCTCTCGTGATCTACGCCCTTATATCACTTGTTCAAAAAAGTGTGGGGGGGTGGGAGGTGTTTCGAGTTCTCAACTTATGACAAGCCGCAAAAACAGGCTTTATCATAATATATGGTCGACCACGCCCTGTCTCTAGCCCCCGCCTTTCGACGGTGGTGCCTCACGATAAGGTTGGTTCCATTTATTGAACTCAATATTTTATTCTGTTGAATAATCAAATACGATGTATTTATTTACGCCTGTTGCTGACGGATGCCACTTCCTAGATTATCTTTGGGAGTCTGTCTTGATGCAATAAGTGCCCCAAGGAGGATTTAATCAGAAAGAGAATTTTACAAACCTGTAGAGGTTATGAATTCTCTGATGAAATCCTCCTTGGGGCACGGCCACCCACCTCCCCACATTCCGTCAGCATTTGACATATGGAAAGTGATTTGGGTGAGAGTTGCTCCCCCTGGCGTGAGGCGCCGTTGGGGGTGAGGCCCCGTAAGGGTGGTCGTATATCATACAAAAACGAAGTTTTTTGTGTGGTAACATTTTTTATTAAGGAAAATGGTTACAACTATGTCATATAGATTTTCTTGAGCAAGGAAAATGCAATAAGTGCCCCAAGGAGGATTTCATCAGAGAATTCATAACCTCTACAGGTTTGTAAAAATTTAATTGTGATCTAGGAAGTATCAAGACAAGTAATAATTGTAATTTACCATGCTTTTACCAAAGTGAAGCACATCCATATAGTAAATATAAATTTGAAGTTTTGTTTAATATCCAGGTGGTATTTTATTTTTAAGATTAATTTATTAAGCATAAATGAGATTTTGTAATGATATTGTGTATAATTACTTCCCTTTGGAGGATGTGAGTTTCCATTTTGTTAAAAACCAAAAGTATATTGTTGAGTCCAATGTGATCATACTGATAAACAGAGAAATGGACCCATCTATTAATCTACTACATATCGGACTATATATATTTCCCTTGTTGACTTGGAGTAACTCCATCTTGTTTTTATATTGGAAAACACAAAGTTAATTCTGAAGTTTGTTACCTGTCAACTTGTTCAGGATTCATCCGACCCCTATAATCAGCTTTTCGCTTTCGTTCCTGTTCGATGTAGTCTTGGTCACCTTTTTTCAGCTGCCTCCCATCGCCTACACCTCTCACCATTCTAATGAGACCAATAAGTACATTCATTAATTTACAATAAAGCAAAATGTTACCCTTAGCAATGCGTATTGCACTGTCAATAAACATATAGATCTATATTTTATTCATAAACAAACTAGGACAACACTTATATTCTGTTACGCCAAGCTAAAAAAACTGAAAAGGGGAGGGGGGAGATATTTTGATTTTTTATGAAATGTTCCCAGGATTAAGGAATAGGGAATTTTTTTATCATTATTTTTTTAATTTAAACTCACTTTTATAAAGCTTGATGTAGACCTACACACTTAAAATCCTAATCTAGGAAACGCACAATTAATTTTGTTCGGCCCTACTTTGAAAAATGTCAGCATTCAAATTAAAAAAACTATAATATAGTTTTGAATAAGTAATTTTTATATGGAGGTATAATTTTCTTTGAAACAGTACAGTTCTCAGGTTTTAATTTACAAAAAGTCATCCATCCTAACCTAAATTCATGTTCACATTTTTTCATGTCATTTATTGTTTTAACCCTTGTATGTAAATGTTTAACATGTTTTACATAGCCCCATGGAAGATTAAAGTAGCTCCAAGATATAAATGAGTCAATTAACTCTTTCAACACCAGTCAACCAGAAGTGTTTACTGCTGGGACACGATATAACTGGAATACTGTTAAAAGCGGCGTTAAACCCAACTCACTCACTCACTCACTCACAAGTTCCCAGAGACTCTTGTGTGATAGATGAAGCCAACATTCATCAAAGAAGATATCTGCTTGTAAAATATATTTGCTGCTACATGTTATACATCAATTGAAAGGTCTGATCCTATAATCCTATATTTTATAAATATGAAAGTTATGTTTTTCACATTATTTAAAATAATGCATAAGTTTGTTGTAAATAAATAAAATGTAAGCTAACACGTAGTTAACATCCAGATTAAGGACCAAGGAAGCGAAAACTTGACGATTTTCGGCAAATATAAGATTTCATACAATCCACTTACCTATTTCTGTTTTATTTTCATTGTTTACGTAATTGGAAAATCATTTTAAAAAGAATTATAAATAGTTTCTGTCATCACCCATTTCCCGATAACAGCGGCTGTCCGCTCAGTAACATGAAGAAATACCCCCGTTTTCGAGACTTCGTATGAATAACACGTTCGTTGAAGAATGGCATATGACACATCGCTGGAAAGCTTATTCCTCCATCTACACGCTCGTAACATGGTCTGGTTTTTGTTCCGTAGTTATAACAATCGATGTCATTGGAATAAAATTGGTTTCTTATGAGGCTTTCTTGCCGAAATCTGCTACAAGGTTCGCGATTAGCCAAATTTGAGCACGTGACCTAAGGCAGCCAATCAAATTACAGCTGTAATAACAAGTTCGTGTTTGATAATTTTCAGAAGTTGACGAAAGATTTTCGTTAAATCGTATTATTCTGAACGTTTTAAGCAGGAAATCATGATATATATTAAAAATATGGAACTTCGTGAATGCATCGTGCTAGGTTATGAGCTGTGACAAAGATTTTTCATGCATATATTTTGGCATTAAACATTGTGTCCGAGCCGAGAATTCAAGGCGATGAAAGCCGAGATGTCATTTGACTTGCATTACACGCGATACACGAACATATGGAAATAATAACCCATCTATGTAAGTTTGATTACTTTTATATATATTTTTGTTGATTTTATTTATTACTTTGTATAATATATTTAAAGATTTGTTTAAAACGTCTATATTTTGCTCTTTGACATGTTCGATGTGGACCCGTTGTGCGATAATTTTATTTTCAATAACATCACGGAAAATAGTGAATACTTTTTTAATTTATCGATGTAAAATGATAAATTGAAAAGGAATACGTATTTCCGACATTGTCAAATGTGATAGATTAAATAAATGAATGATATTACAGGTAGGTCCATAAAAATATATACTATTTTGCCCGACCGAAGTCGTCTGTCTACCAGTTTGTCCGACCGTCAGATAATATGTCCACTTGTTACGACCGACAATAAAATGTCTGTCTCAATGTTATGCCCGAACGAAGTAAGTCTGTCCAACTTTTTCTATGCGAGGCTTTGCGCAAAGCTTGTTCTTATTCATAGTGCGAAGCAAACTCTAGTAGTCGTGTTTAATTGTGTGTTTGAATTACTTTTCTAAAGTACTTGTGGCCGAACTGGTGAAAACTTGAACTATCGTATATAAATCGACTAATTCAATGTTCGCCCGTAACATTGGGTCGCCTGTAACATTTACACTTACCGAGACAGACGTGGAAGCATCCTTCTTCTTTGGCGCCATCTCTGCTGCTGACCAAATTTCGGCAATCATGTAATTCGTATCATGTGGAAACCAACCGGAACTTGGCAAATCCGATGACGGAATATAAACCAGATGACGTGTAGCGATCAGAAAAGTTAAATTATGATCGACAATTCGCCCGTAACAGTGGGACAGAGTTTTCTATAGACGTTTATGATTTGCATTTATTTTCTGTGGTTGCAAACCTGTTTTGATTTCATGTTTAGGTTTAACATACATTGATCACCAACTTTCATTCTGCTTCCGAAGTAACTTTCTGTGGTTTCAGAATTCGTTACAAAATGATGTTTTTGTTCACCACCCATCGAGGACAGACATTGTTACGTCCGACACTTGTCAAATTAATTGTACATTTGTATTAATTTTTTTTTTTTTTTTCAATTTTTTTTTTATTGAAATCTGTTAAAGTACAAAGGTACCTGTTACATTCTGTTAAAATCGTACATTAATATTGAACTGAATGTGGAATACAGCCTACAGATTGGAGGTATGCACAGACATGTAACAAACAGAACTCAGAAAACACACTTGTTTTAATTTAAAAATTCTTTTATTTAATTTATATACATTGTTTAAAAAGCTCAAAATATGTTTACTATCTCCAAAATTCATGATGTATCCAATGTAGTTCAGATTTTGCAGATACTCTCCTTGGAATTAAATTTACAACTGTTTGAAATTCATAGGTATCAAAGTGGGCACTCTAGTGAATAAGGACTCAATTATATCATGTATATATGGACATTCCGTCAACCTTGCCAAACTCCACGATAACAGTTGCATCATGATCATTTGTCATCACACTTTCTTGTGGAAGTATCGCAGTACTTTTGAGTCATATAAAGCTCTCGAACCCACACGACAACAGTTTGCAGGGGCTAGATGAATAGTGTTTTTAAATATTTAACTTGAATACCCACATGTGTTAAAACTAGTGGGTAACAGAAATTTGAATGCCCAGATAGAATTACTGATCCCCAATGATTTTAAAATGCATGGGTAAAATACCCACAACACCAAAAGCTTATCTGGAGCTCTGTCTTTTATCATGTGTCTGATGAAACATCCCTGGAAAGTATGAAAACGTGCAGACTTGCCACACACTAGAGGACAGCGTAAGACATTGTCACTAGTCCCATACTCCTTGCCAAACTGCCCAATAGTTAAGGTATCATAAGGACTAGTAGAATCTTTTCCTTTTCAGGGGTTTTGCTATAAGTTATCATTATAAGGACTAGTGGGTTACAATAGTTATTTTCTATCGCGGAGGATATACGGATATTGCTTGAATATGTATCCCTGGGTGCCTGGGCATATTCTAATATAGTTGAGATTAAGTGAAGTGTTGTGTTGCAGGAACCTCGGGCCGCCCCATGCCTGTTTTGGCAAATTTCTTCCGCCTGGAGACTGCGCCGGATTGGATGTTGTATCAGTATCATGTGGACTTCAATCCAACCATTGACTCCAGGAGGTTGAAGAATGCATTGTTAATGTCACATATTGAAAGTCTCCTTGGAAATACTCGGGCTTTTGATGGCATGATTTTGTACTTGCCCAGGAAACTACCACAACAGGTGAGTTTAGTTGATAAAGTTGTTGTTTTGTCTCCTTATTCAACGCTACACTGAGCAGTATTCCAGCCATATGATGGCGGGCTGTAAATAATAAAGGTTGGGGACAGATATTCCTGTGAGCAATTGAGCATCGACCTATGCAATTGGAACATGACATGCATCAACCAAGTCAGCAAATCTGACCACCTGATCCCGTTACTTGCCTCTTATGGCAAGCATAGGTTGCTGAAGACCATTTTAGCCCAGATCTTCATGGTTAATAAGAAGGCAAATGTTAAGAGTTGTCTTGCTAATCATGAAGTAGCATTTTAACGTTTGGTTGAGGGCATGGATACATGCAATTTGGTAAGCATGTGGGGGATTCTGGTTAAAATTGGTTCCCAGAAACCAATGCTTGTCTTAAGAGGCAACTAAATGGTTCAGGCTTGGTGATTCAGTTCATTGCTTGTTAACGTGTCGCGATGGCTGAGATTGTTACTCATAATATCAATCATTTGATTGTCTGGTTGTTTCTCGAATATTTGCAGGCAACCATCATAGAGCTGAAATATTGTTGAGGGGTGTTTATATTATATGCAGGGTTAGATCTTAACACTAGCCCACTATTCCGGGGCTAGTACAAATTACTGCGGGCGAGTACAAATTTCCCTATTTCCCCATTGTTTTAACATTACAAGGGCATCTTATCTTTACCCGGGCTAGTAAAGTTTTTTAGTTCTAACCCTGAGTTAAACAGAGGGTGTACAAGTGTATGTGGATGAATTGTTATATTATTGTATTGTTTTACTAAATTGAGTTAAAATATGCTGACTGTTTTCTTTCAGACAACTGAAGTTTACTCCACCAGGAATTATGACAGTGCACAGATCCGTATTACAATCACGCTTACGAATGAGCTGCCGCCGACATCCCCACAGTTTATTCAAGTTGCTAACATTCTCTTTCGCAAGTAAGTATCATTGTTATCTATAAAGAATGCTTTTGACATGAGATGACAGGGCTTGGGTTAGCTATGTAAAACATGCACCAGTGCAACCTATCATTGAAAAGTGCAACCTAATATTCATGTCTACATGCGCCAAGTGAATGTCAACAATTTCAATAGTGTCTGACTAACCTGTACTCAACAACGATCTTTGAAAACACTCCAATCCCTAAGCTTTATGTACCATTCAACATCAAAATGGGGGTACTTTAAGTTCATGTGCACATTTTTCCATTGCGTCTTACAGTAATACGTAATTATTTATGTGAATGAAGCCCATTTCTGGTGTCCCCTGCCGTGATATAGCTGGAATATTGCTAAAAGCGGCATAAAACCATACTCACTCACTCACTATGGGAAGTCAAGACATTGTATGTCAGCGTATCCCAATGGCATAGATAGAGTTCATGTTGGCAATCACTGGATTGTCTGGTCCAGACTTGATTATTTACAGATGACAGGAATATGGCTGGAATATTGCTAAGTGCGGCGTTGAACAACACACAACCAGACTTGGATTATTTACTGAGCTATATGCTAATGTTTGCTTACTTTCAGGTACCTCTCCATGATCAATATGAAACAAATCGGAAGGCATTACTTCAACCCAACATTGTCTATAGACATTCCCAGGCACAAGTAAGCATGTTATAGATGATTTGTCTACTGTTATTCCCTAAGTGTATTTTAGGCAGATGCTGCTGCAAAAGCAGCACTCAACAAATCTGTGACACCACTTCTCATCCCATAAACTGATTATAAACCAGTGATTAGATCTTACATCTGCTCAAACAAATAGAACTACAATTGTCTGAACAACTGAAATTGTTGATCTATTTTGTAGGTGTCATTTCAAATGCTTTCCGAGGAACTTTAGTTAATACATTTAGATTCCATGTAAATACCTTGTGTATGTATTTTTCAGATTGCAGGTGATGCCAGGCTTCACGACGTCCATCCTGCAGTATGAGACTTCCGTTCTGCTGGGAGCAGATATTGCCCACAAGATACTGAGGTCGGACACCGTGCTTGACATCATGTATGCCATCTATGAACAGGACAACAGGAACTTCTATGACAAAGTCTTCAAGAAGTTTGTTGGTTCCATTGTGCTTACAAGGTGTGTATCACTAATGTAATGATTGGTTAGGATTTCCGTCTTCATTTGTTTGCAAACCTGTGAAAATCTGGGCTAGAATAGGTCTTCAGCAACCCTTGCTCATCGTGAAAGGCAACTAATGACTTGGTTGATGCATGTCATCATATCCCAATTGCGTGGATCATGGTGTCAATCACTGGATCGCTGGTCCAGACTTAATCATTTACAGACCGCTCTCATATAGCTAGAATATTGCTGAGTGCAGTGTTCAACACCAAACAAACAGTGACTTGGTTGATGCATGTCATCATATCCCAATTGCGAGGATCATGGTGTCAATCACTGGTCCAGACTTAATCATTTACAGACCGCTCTCATATAGCTAGAATATTGCTGAGTGCAGTGTTCAACACCAAACAAACAGTGACTTGGTTGATTGCATGTCATTGTATCCAGATTGTGTAGATCACAATATCAGTCCCTGGCTTGCCTCGTTCCGAATCGATTATTTAAAGGCCACTATCATATCGCTGGAATATCTTTGAGAACAGTCTTAAACAAACACTTCTCAAGTAGATATCCACGGTAGATGACAACAATAAGAGAGAAAAATGTCGAATTGAACTTACCTGAAGTATCGTAGGAAGTTAATGGGTTTTTTTCTTTTGTAGGTACAACAACAAAACTTACAGAGTGGATGATATCGATTGGGACAAGAATCCTCTGGACACCTTCAAGATGAGCGATGGCTCCCAAATCACATACAAGGAGTATTACAAGAAGGTCAGTGAAGTTTCAAGATGTTATAAGAGCCATGTTTAGGCTTGTAGATTCACACGGAGGAGAGGGCGGAGGAGAGATGTAAAGCGGCCAGCCGTCCAAAGAAGAATTTTGTTTGTTTGTTGTTTTACATTTTCATGACAACAAGTTGGACTTAAACTGAAAATGAGGGTCGTTCTAGTTTCTGGTGCAGAACTCCAAAACCATTTGAATATTTCTGGATGAAACCTGCTAAACACATCAGTCAAGTGGTGAGCTGATGCCTTTTGATAATTTAGAATTTTGAAAAATACTAAACAGATTATGTTTTATTTCACTGAACTGAAGGTATCCAATGAGCCAAAAGTAGGGTATGAGTAGCACCAGACCAGGGCCCCGTTCCTCAAAGTGATCGTAGCGCTAAGGTGATCGTAAGTCCCATACTTTAACATAGGCTTACCATCATCGTAGTGCTAAGACCGCTTTGAGGAACAGGGCCCTGGGGGATATGTCATCTCCTGATGACTCTTGTTTTATTTGTAGTTTAATGAAGAAATATCTATTTTGAGAATTCGTCCACTCAAAATGTCATACCATCATCTTTCTCATTCAGTCTTATGAGATCACAGTCACAGATGACAAACAGCCACTGCTGGTCTCCAAACCAAAGAAAAGTGACATCCGACGAGGCCAGACAGAACCAATCTACCTTCTGCCTGAACTGTGTACACTGACTGGTCAGTAATGAATGCTTGTGAATTTGCATCTGTCCAATATAGACACTCCACTCGGTTTGTCAGATGTTGCTGTAGTCGAAATATAGAATTTACATATAGTTTCAGGATCATTTGACTGTATTGTACTGTAGACGATCATGTCGACAGGCTTTGGTGTCCTGACCAGTAGATCATAACAAAATACCAATTGTAATTTGGGAAAGAGGGTAGAAATGTTGTAGTTTAATTTGAATTTGTATGTCCATAAATCTCTCATCCAGGCCTATCTGAAGAAGTTCGGGCAGACTTTAACGTGATGAAGGACGTGGCAACCCACACACGCATTGGGCCAGAGGGCAGGAGTAAACAGTTGACAGCATTCATCAACCAGCTGAATGCGTAAGTTAAAGTGCTTGTGTCCCCTACCATTCACATTTTTGTATCAATTTGTTAGGCCTTGTACTTAGATAGCATGGTTAGTGAGACCACCTCCGTGGTCTAGTGGTAGTGCGTCTGCCTGCCTGGAGAGCGGAAGGTTCGGAGTTCGATCCCCGGCTGCGTCATACCAAAAGACGTTAAAAGATGGTACTTGTTGTTACCCTGACTTGCGCTCGGCATTAAGGGGCTGAATCAAGGACTGGTCGGCTCGGAGTCAGTATACTGTGTCTGCGTGGAGTATTCATGTTAAACTGCGGCATGGTATCTCAGTGAGCTAGCACTATCAATCGGCATCAGTCCGGACTAGTACAAGCAGCCACACACACACACACGTGCATGCAAGTGGCTATATAAGTGCAATAATCTTGGACTCGACATTAAACCCCATTTCACCTCACCTCACTTAGTTAGTGGCTTTAGTACAAATTACATAGACTACTGTTTCGTCTTCCACCTATTTACAGTAATCACCCGCGTTCATTCTAGTTGACAAAATTGGAAGGGCCTTTGCACCAGTGTGTGTTTGTTTGTTGCCACACTGAGCAATATTCCAGCTAAATGACGGCGGTCTGTAAATAATTGAGTCTGGAATGAATCCAGTGATTGACATCACGAGCATCAATCCACTCAATTGGGATACGATGACATGCATCAACCAAGTCAGCAAGCCTGTCCATCTGATCCCGTTAGTCGCCTCTTGCGACAAACAGTTGCCATTTACGGCAAGCATGGGTTCCTGAAGACATATTCTTCCCCGGACCAGTGAATGACGAAAGAGTCGGTCATGTGTGGTTGGTGTGCTTTTTGATTGGCTAATGTCTACTTCCTGTTGGTTGGTCAATGTTGGGAAATCTCGTTTCTGACGTGACCTGTAATGAGATCTTTACGAGCACTATGACCTGTAATGAGATCTTTACGAGCACTATGACCTGATCTTACATGTTGGATACTGCACCAAAGCTTCTTACAGCGATACCTTATTCCCTGTGATATGATATGCTAGCATAAGGTGTATCACTATGCATTGGAGTTTGCAAACTGCACACTTCTGATGCACATATTGGCAGGTAAAGCATGCTGATGATTTCTCTGTCATAAAGTAAGGCTCTTTAAGGTTATAATATGCGATTTTTTTTCATATTGGAAACCATGTGCCCAACTCTGCATGTTGGCCATAATTATTGAGAAAGAAGCCAAGATGCCACGCTCCAGAATGACCACTGTCATTACCACTTCAAACCCTCGGCTTCTGACGTGAGATGATTTGCCAGTGCTTAGCAATGATGCTTTCTTGCTGCAAGGAAAATGATTAATAGAAACTTTCTGATGTATTTTTGCTTGTTTCAGTGAACCAAAAATAGCAGAAGATATGCGTGGATGGAAACTGCGCTTCCAGCCACAGTTGCTGCCGATACAAGCTAGGGTTGTTCCTCAAGAGAAAATTCGACAAGGCAGGGATGCTGAGGTAATACTTAAGATTATCTGTGCTTTGTTTGCTTTTCAATGGATGGCATCTTACATTCACAGCCAGCAACTGATGCTTGCCGTAAAAGGCGACTATGCTTGTCGTAAGAGGCCTTGCCTCACACCCATGAAGCAATCAAATGTACCAGATACTCTGTTGTTTGAACGAACACAAGCCTTTTCATTACTGAAGATAAGAGGCGACTAATGGGATCGGGAGGTCAGGCTCGCTGACTTGGTTGATGCATATCATCATATCCCAATTGCGAAGATTGATGCTCACGTTATCAATCACTGGATTGTCTGGTCCGACTCGATTATTTAAAGATCGTCATCATATAGCTGAATATTTCTGAGTGTGGCGTTAAACAACAAACAAAACATTCACAGCCTGTGCCAGGAACTTGCCAGGAGGTATCATCCCCCAACTCTAAACATATTTATACCCCCGTTTACGAAATAAATCATGGGTATATAACGTTCCGTCTGTCTGTCCTTCCGTCTGAGTTTTTGACGGCCCATAACTTTTTAACCATGCACCAAACTTCTACACCCATTAACCACAATGAGTACTTGTGCTTTTTGCTAGTTTGAAGATTCTGATTTTTTTAAATTGTGGCCGTTTCCATGGACACATTAAGAAACATCAAGAATGTATGTTGTGCGAAGCATTGATTATCCCACACTAGATTGAAATATATTGGCAAAAACATGTGTTCTTTTCAAACATAATGCATCCTCATTGGGTTACAAAGGAAAGGGCAGTTCCTCTGACTTAAAGCAACAGGTATATTTCATTAATTAACAAACTATTTACTATTTGTTGTTGACCAGCGGGGATAACAGGGGTATGTGAGCTTTGCTCACTTCTTTCTTGTTATCCCCCGCCGCGCGAAAGCGCGAAGCGGGGGATATAGTATTCACGACCGTCCGTACGTCCGTCCGTACGTCCCACCTGTTTGTTGCCGCGATATCTCAAGAACTAAACACTGGATTGTCTTCATATTTGAACTATGGTGTATATACAGACTCCGCAGACACCAGTCGGTTTTGGTGACCTTGATCCCATTTTCAAGGTCACAGCAGACAAATCTGCTTTTAGAGTTGGAAAACGGTGTTGCCGCGATATCTAAAGAACTAAACACTGGATTGTCTTCATATTTGGAACTATGGTGTATATACAGACTCCGCAGACACCAGTCGGTTTTGGTGACCTTGATCCCATTTTCAAGGTCACAGCAGACAAATCTGCTTTTAGAGTTGGAAAACGGTGTTGCCGCGATATCTCAAGAACTAAACACTGGATTGTCTTCATATTTGGAACTATGGTGTATATACAGACTCTGCAGACACCAGTCGGTTTTGGTGACCTTGACCCCATTTTCAAGGTCACAGCAGGCAAATCTGCTTTTGGAGTTGGAAAACGGTGTTGCCGCGATATCTCAAGAACTAAACACTGGATTGTCTTCATATTTGGAACTATGGTGTATATACAGACTCCGCAGACACCAGTCGGTTTTGGTGACCTTGATCCCATTTTCAAGGTCACACCAGGCAAATCTGCTTTTAGAGTTGGAAAACGGTGTTGCCGCGATATCTCAAGAACTAAACCTCTCGATTGTCTTCATATTTGGAACTATGGTGTATATACAGACACCGCAGACACCAGTCGGTTTTGGTGACCTTGACCCCATTTTCAAGGTCACAGCAGGCAAATCTGCTTTTGGAGTTAGAAAACGGTGTTGCCGCGATATCTCAAGAACTAATCGCTGGATTGTCTTCATATTTGGAACTATAGTGTATATACAGACACCGCATACACCTGTCAGATTTGGTGACCTTGACCCCATTTTCAAGGTCACAGCAGGCAAATCTGTTTTTGGAGTTGGAAAACGGTGTTGCCACAATATCTCAAGAACTAATCGCTGGATTGTCTTCATATTTGGTACTATGGTGTATATGGCGGGGGATATTTCGTCACTCTGTGACAAATACTTGTTTTAGTCTATTTTAGCGTTATATGGATTAATATTTCTGAGCTAACAAGACTTGGGCTTCGGACTAACGGTTAATGTTAGACTGTATCAGGCAAAAAAGTTGTCATACATTATACCCATGATAAATTGAATAGCATGTGACCAGTTCCAACTAAAGATTGTGTCAATGTGTTTTTTTATTTTAGGTTCACTACAAGCAAGAGGATGCTGATTGGTCAAGGGATATGCGAGGCAAGCATTTGCTCGTACCGGTCAGCCTGGAAAACTGGGTAGTCCTGTCCACTCAGAGAGACTCTCCATTGGCACAAGACCTGGTGCAGACTCTGGGCAGGGTTGGGCCACCCATGGGCATGAACTTCAGCAAACCTCTCATGTATGTATTTCTTTCACAGAGGTGTTTGGGTCGTGATTTTAAATATGTACAACTCTTTTTCCCTTTTTAATTTGCCAATGGTATGAAATACATACTAGTAAGGATGTAGACGATCCTTAAAGAAGCTTTCAGTATTTATTTCTGGGACAAATCAGTACGTTCCACAGGAATTGGACATTAACAGGGATTTATTTAGATTTGCTCAGAGGCCGATAATCGTCCCCAAGTGTGCAGCAAATGCCATTTTCACCTATCCCAATTGGGACCGCCTCCGTGGTCTAATGGTAGAGCCTCCGCCCCGAGAGCGGAAGGTTCGGGGTTCGATCCCCAGCCGCATCATACCAAAAGACGTTTAAAGATGGTACTTGTTGTTACCCTGTCTGGCGCTCGGCATTAAGGGGCTAAAACAAGGACTGGTCGGCTCCGAGTCAGTATACTGTGTCTGAGTGGGGTATTCATGTTAAACTGCTAGCACTATAAATCGGCATCAGTCCGGACTAGTACAAGCAGCCACACACACATACACGTGCATGCACGTCGCTATATAAGTGCAATAATCTTGGATCCGACGTTAAACCCCATTTCACCTCACCTCACCAATCCCAATTGCGTGGATTGATGCTCATGTCAATCCCTGGATTGTCTGGTCCAGACTCGATTATTTACAGACCACCGTCATAAAGCTGGAATATTGCTGAGTCCGGCATTGAACAACAAACAAACAAAAACATATGCCATTTAAAAATAAAATATCACACAAGGATCCATAAAGAAGGATGAAATGTGCACTGTGTGAGATAGGATAAGTACTTATATAAAATATACAATTTTGAACAAAATAATGAATATCCTAATCTACCTTCTAGCAATGGCAACAGGCAATTTTCCAGTGATTTATCCAGGATTCTAATCTTGTCAACTATTTTGGTTCTATCTGTATACACTAAACACATTGTGCCTATTTCCTTCTATTAGGTGTCAGCTTCAGAATGACCGCAATGAGACCTACCTTCAGTATTTGCGACAGAATATCACTGAGCACACACAGATGGTGATATGTCTCTGCCCCAACAACAAGAAAGACAGATACGATGCCATCAAGAAGTTTTGTTGTGTCGAACACCCAGGTACAATTTAAGCAATCTGCTTTTATCTTGTATATTTATCTTGTATATTCATAGCTGTCAACGACCTGTGAAGATCCAGGGTAGAATTATGCTGAATAGGTCTTCAGCAACCCTTGCTTGCCGTAAAAGGCGCCTATGCTTATCGTAAGTAGCGACTAACGGGATCGAGTGGTCAGGCTCACTGACTTGGTTGATGCATGTCATCGTATTCCAATTGTGCATATGGATGCTCATGTTATCAATCACTGGATTCATTCCAAACTCAATTATTTAATGACCGCTGTCACATAAATGGAATATTGCTGAGTTCGGAGTAAAACTGCAGTCATTCGCTCATTTAAAGTGTGGGGTAGCAAAATGGTTAGGATCTTTTATTACAAAGAGCTGTTTGACCCATGAAGATCCGGGGTAAAATAGGTCTTCAGCAACTCATGCTTGCAGTAAAAAGCGACTATGCTTGTCGTAAGAGGCGACTAACGGGATTTGGTGGTCAAGCTCGCTGACTTTGTTGATGCATGTCATCGATCCCAATTGCGTGGATCGATGCTCATGATATCAATCACTGGATTGTCTGGTCCAGACTAGATTATTGACAGACCGCCGTCATATAGCTGGGATATTGCTGAGCGTGGCGTTAAACAACAAACCAACCCACTGTTAATAGCAAATGTTGTTATGGGTTGTCACAGTAAGGAACGCCTATGTTCTTTTAGTCAGCCATGATTTACGACGTACGATGAGGAGAACATTGTAATCGAAAAACTTCTGTTTATTTCCAGTACCAAGCCAGGTAGTAGTTGCACGGACTGTGAGCAAGAAGCAGATGCTGATGTCTGTGGCGACCAAGATCGCCATTCAGCTGAACTGCAAACTTGGAGGTGAAGTTTGGGCAGTGGAAATCCCGGTAAGTAATCAACCCCAACCTCGTGTCGCCCCTAGGGATGCCGAGTTAGAATAGGACCCCACCAACATGCCCCAAGTCTCAAGACATTTTCTGTAAGAATTGCCAAATTGGAATAAACCGTTTCCCAGTTAGAGCTCATACAGAATAACTAATTTTATGACTTTGTAGAGGTGATTGTATTTTACTGATATCAACAGGACCAATAAAGTGGAAGGTTTTTTTTGTGTGCTCAGGTTTACACTGTTGTATTGAATAAAATATGAAAGCACATTGTCAAAATACCTCTGAATTAAGACACGACATGGGTACAATGCTCTCTGAATTAAGACAAATTGAGCAATAAAAGCAATTTCAATTTGGAACAAACTGATTTTTTTGCAGTGCAGTGTTGCGTCCCTTGGGCACGCCAGAAACCTACGATTGTGGGTTCGAATCACGGTTCAACAGATTATGTGTCTAGGTTTGTCATGCTGCTTATGTCGACCTATATGCCTTGTAATCCATTTGCTGAAAGAAACGCTTTTAATCAATGTCGTTATTGTTGGTGGGACAGCTTAGCCATCCAGCAAGCTAGCTGGATCATGTAGTTTGCATGCTGTAGATCGACTTGCTTCTGCCGGTGTTGTGTGCTCACGATAACGATGACATGCATTAACCAAGTCAGCAAGCCTGACCACCCAATCCCCCTAGTCACCTCTTACAACAAACATAGTTGCCATTTACCGCAAGCATGGGTTCCTGAAAACATATTCCAAAATCAAAGCTCATTCATTTAGGGGTGCCCTTTCCCGGGTTGATTGTATACTGTGACAACTGTTTATTTGGTTACATACTAGTTTGAACAACCAAAACCAAAAAGGAAACTGCCTTCCCACCCTATTTTCAAAAGCCATTGCCTCAGAACCAATTCTTTTATTTTTGAAGTCTGAAAAGAAGCTCAAGGTCCTTATCTTTCTACTTAATAATTAATATCGTTGAAACTGTCTAAAACCAGAATTGGGAACTATGTGTTCCTATTTATTTATTTTTAGACATTTTCTGTAGATCCGGAAGCCTTGATATTTTCCTGTAATGCTGATGTTAAAACCTGAGTTAAGGGTGTGGCGAAATTGTGGTGCTATTTTTTAAAGCTCAAGGACCTTTTTGATTCCCCTGCTTTCTGACTGACAAGCATGCTTTATTTCCCCGGATAAATGTGTTGATTGTAGTTGTAAAAGTAAATTTTGGGTTTCATAGTGTGATTCGACATTTCAGAACTTATGTGAAATAACAAAGATTTCTTTCAAGTAAAAATTGCTATTTTTAAACAACGCTATCAACAATTCTATACACGCCTTCACGATCTCATTGTATCAGGTTTTCAGATCTGTTCATTTTCAAAGACATTGACTGATTATCATCAAAATGTCTCATTGATTTTGTTCCAAAATTTGGTTATGATATAGAGGAATATTCTATTAAATGTTGATAAAATCATGGACATGTCCCAATACGATTTGCTTCCAGTAAAATCACTGTATTTAGCATAATATTGAAATTCAGAATCACAGTATTGAAACCTTCTGTAGAACATGCCTTCTTGCTATACAACTTTAATATTCAAACTAGCTGAAAGATTTGATGGTCGTTGGGATCGACTGCTACCACGACTCTGCGAAGAAGGGTCGCTCTGTGGGTGGAGTGATTGCCAGTCTTAACCCGCTTCTCACCCGCTACTACTCACGCTGTACCTTCCAACACAATATGCAGGAGTTGATGGACGGCCTAAAGATCTGTATGAATGGTTGGTTTGACTGGCTGCCTGACATTCAGTTCTTGCTGCCGTTTCAGCAGTGGTGTTTGCATGAAGCTTTAGCATGTGCTTTGAAGATGGCGAAACTGTTCTGGGTCATTGATTGAAACACATTCATGAGTATTTAAAAATATAAGCCCTTATATCCCATTGTGAATATTAAGCAATGTCAATAATGCACAGTTCATTCAAAGAGGGCCTTTGTGTGCAGTAGAACTTGAAACGTTATTTTATCTTATTTAATCCACTGGCAATACTGAAAATTGGTAGTTTCAGGATGTGTTTCTTTCAAACCAGGAGACCTTTGCCATCAACTGTTTTTTCTTATCACTTGTTTGAAACATGCAGATGCTTTTCTGTAGCTGAGGAAAAGAAATCACAACTGGTGATCATTGACACGGGCCTCTAAGTTGAACATTTGCAACAAATATTGACAATATTGTTACAATACCATTGATATGAATTTAGTGGCTATGAAATATTGCTGCCTGTATTTTTAAAAATACATCCCTCCCCTGTATGTGTCATACAGGGTTTGTCCAGACCATATCTCTGATTCTTATAGGTATGCTTTCATGAAACTTAACATACAAAGACCAGGTTGTCATCTGGTGCCTTTTGCTATTTAGGAGTTTTTAGAATTTTTATTTTTCCCTCTTTCCACGGTAGCAAGTTTGACTTTTGTCTCTGTCATGGTGGTGTTTTTGTCCGGATCCTGCCTCCGAAACTAGCAGGCATACTTCCATGAAACTATGCAGATACAAAGACCTGGTTGTCAACTTGTGCCTTTTGCTGTTACTGTATTTTTCAAGTTTGTTGGGGCTGTGGGGATTTGTCATCTTCTGATGACTCTTGTTCAGAAAGGTGCGTCGGGGTAGCCTAGTGGTTAAAGCGTTCGCTCGTCACGCCGTAGACCCGGGTTCGATTCCCGACATTGGTACAATGTGTGAAGCCCATGTCTGGTGTACCCCGCCGTGATATTGCTGGAATATTGCTAAAAGCGACATAAAACCATACTCTGTCACTCACTCTTGTTTAGAAAGAGTCATTGAACTCTCAAAATATGTCACTTAGAGGGCTGTTGATATGTGGGATGATTGCTTACTAACATCAGCTATGCATGTTGCCAGGAATTTGGCATTGTTACCTCTATTTATTCATTTTTTTGTTCATTATTAATTCATGACCGTTTTTGCACGTTCAGCTGAATAACACGATGGTCGTTGGTATTGACACCTATCACGACTCCGCCAGGAAAGGTCGTTCTGTTGCTGGTGTAGTAGCCAGTGTGAACAAGAATCTGACCAGGTATTACAGCAAATGTACCTTCCAATTCTCCCACCAGGAGTTGATAGATGGGCTTCGGACATCCTTTACAGGTAAGTTGCAATTTCTGTTTTGGCAGACAAAAACGCGTTTCTTAGTAGATCCATGCAAGTTTTCCTGGGCTTGATATTTGGTAGTAAATTAGATTGGTTACTGTCTGCAGTGTCATTTGTCGGTTAAATTTCACAATTTCACCGCAATTTTAAAAAAAATGTGATTATTTCAATAGCCTTGCTGACTTGGTTGATGTATGTCATCGTATCCCAATTGCGAGGATTGATGCTCATAATATCACCGTATCCCTATTGTGTGGATCGATGCCTATGACGTAAATCAAAGGATTGCATGGTCCAGACTCGATAATTTACAGACTGCTGTCATATGGCTGGAATATAGCTGAGTGAGGCATTAAACGAGAAACAAGCAACCAAACACACTTTTTTTTCAATTATAGTAATTTAAGCATCATGGTAATATAAGGGTTCAGAGCATCACTAATAAACAATGCCAAAGCATCATCACAAGGTTTGCTGCTGTCTACTTATGACCGTGGACCTTGTGTTGCAAAGGAGAGTAGCCCCCACTTGGACCAAGTGTACAGTCGACAGAATGTCTTTCTCCTGTTAACCAAAGCAAACCTGTGTCATGGATTTTGTCTAACTCGTTTTGGAATATTCATAATAAAAACAGTATTATTTAGTAATATATATATATATATATGTTTTTGTATTTATTCAGGTGTGTACAATGCATCATATAGATCAAATATGTATATTCTAATGCTGATTTGATTGTTAATGTTGTCTTGAAGGTTCTTCTTGGCTTATCTTGACAGCCTCATTTATCATGTTTATACATTAAACATTGGACTGCCTCCGTGGTCTAGTGGTAGAGCTTCCACCCGGAGAGCGGAAGGTCCAGGGTTCGATTTCCCGGCTGCGTCATACCAAAAGACGTTAAAAGATGGTACTTGTTGTTACCCTGTCTGGCGCTTGGCATTAAGGGGCTAAAACAATGACTCATTGGCTAGGAGTCAGTATAATGTATTTGAGTGGGGTATTCATGTTAAACTGCGGCATGGTATCTCAGTGTGCAGACACAAGTACATGCACGTCGCTATATAAGTGCAATAATCTTGGACGCGCCGTTAAACCCAATTTCACCTCACCTCACCCATTAAACATTGCCTTCAATAAAATTTTGTGATATACAGTAAGGCTAAAAGAAATATTAGTCAGGCACTACCCACATCATCATAAAGTTCATTACACATTTCCTTTTTGTTTCCATTTTCAATTTTTTTTTTGTGCATACTTAAGTATTAGGAGTGGAAATAAAAACAAAACGTGTGGCAGACTTTTTGATGATGTGGGTGACTATATATATTTTTAGCCTAAAACAAAAGCTTTGTCTCCCTGCTGAAGAGTTACATGGTGACCTGCACTAGCTGTTTCAAATTAGACGAAGCGACAAACTTATCAGTATTTTACTCATCAGGGAATTATACATTTATGTGGGGAAGCCCTTTCCCAGGTTGATGTACACAACTGTTTATTTGGTTACATACTAGTGTGAACAACCCATTATAAAAAACAGGCTGTCCCTCACAATATATTTTCAAAAAACATTGCTTGAGAACCACTTTTTTTTACATTTTGTTACATTTTTCTTTAAGCCTTATCCTTTGAGTTTTTAGCTGGCCCTCCTGGACTGATTTGTAGTAAAATCACAACTTTGTGGACTGGTAAAGTGTTATTGCCCTCCTATTTTACTGGCCCTAGAGGACAACCATGAATGGATGCTTAATAGTCCCTGACTATGAAAAACTTACAAAAATATTATCTATCCTGTGTGTAATCACAATGATGCGATGTTATGCAAACATAAACGTTACCTGTTGCAGGGGCTTTAAAAAAGTTCCATGAAGTAAACAACACACTGCCTGAGAAGATCATCGTGTACCGAGATGGCGTGGGAGACGGACAGCTGCCGGCTGTGTATGAGCACGAAGTGCCACAGATGATCCAGGCCATCAAGAAGAGTGGAGGCGCTGAATATGAGTATGTTGCATGTTTTCACCAGGCCCTAAAGACACGATAAAACGTGTCAGTTATTTGACTGTTCCATTGAGTAGAAAATACTTGCATTAGGGTACATGGCTATTAGACCCGTGAAGATCTAGACTAGTTCTTCAGCAACCCATGTGGTTCGCAGTGGAAGACTAAACTCAGATTAACTAAACATGAACTTACCTTGCAATCAACTAAACGTGAAATCCCCTTGTAATGTAATGAACAATGAAAATGTTACAAGATAAAATTAAATGGATTTGAAACTTAAAGTGAAGTTACTGTTTGATAAGCGTATGTCAACAGTGTAAATGGGTAACTCTCTCAACTATTTCTATTCTATTCTATTTCTGTACTATTCTAGTTTACTATTTTGTAACTTAGAGAGAGTTATCCATTTGCTACTTGCACATATGAACGCCAGAAGCCAACTGAACTACACTGGGTCCAGAACATGCACATTTTACGCTCATCCAGCAAGAAGCACATGCTGCATGCCAACTTTAACGCTTTCCGCAAAGCTGTTTTGTACCCATGAATCAACCGCTGTGTCCAGAAACCTGACACTTGTTTCCAAACGTTTTTCCAGATGCTTCAGAACACCACGCTTGCAATAATAGGCGACTATACTTGTCGTAAGAGGCGACTAACGGGATCGGTTGAAATTTGCTATACAGATAAGTGTAGTGGTGACTCGTGAAGATCCGGGGTAGAATAGGTCTTCAGCAACCCATGCGTGATGTAAAAGGCGACTTTGCTTGTTGTAAGAGGCGACTAACAGGATCGGATGGTCAAGCTCGCTGACTTGATTGATGCATGTCATCGATCCCAATTGCGTGGATCGATGCTCATGATGTCAATCACTGGATTGTCTGGTCCAGACTGGATTATTTACAGACCGCCGTCATACAGCTGGAATATTGTGCAGCATTAAACAACAAACACAGTGTAGTGGTGAACTGGTTCATTTGGATGATTTTGGATTTTGAAAAATACTGCACTGAACTGAAGCCAGTGAGGGTGTAAATGGCAATGTTCCAAAACTTTGCTGAAAGTAGCCAAACTCCATGTCTGAATTTCACCAGACAGGTGGGATATGTCATCAGCTGATAACTTTTTCAACAAACACAATACTTTCAGTCTGCTGTTAAAATTGAAAAATATGTAAGACTTTTGTTGATTGCACAATACTATTATGTTTCCACAGGCCCAAGATTGCTGTTGTGATTGTCAAGAAGCGCATCAATGCAAGGTTCTTTGCCAGGAATGGCCCTAATACGGGAAACCCAATGCCAGGAACAGTCATCGACAGTGAAGTCACCAAGCCTGAATGGTAAGTACTTATACCTAGACCACTATTGGTGGTCAGACGATAGATGGGTGCATCTTGAGTTTTCATGTGAAGATATGATACACGATACGTTTTTCTCTGTATCGATACAAGCCGATACACTTGCTGAAATAAAATGCTTACTACTCGTTCCATGACCTCTGGCGTTTTTTGACAGTCAGATATAGTAAAATGTTGGGTAGCCTAGTGGTTAAAGCGTTCGCTCGTCACGCCGAAGACCAGGGTTCGATTCCCGACATGGGTACAATGTGTGGAACCCATTTCTGTGTTCCACGCCGTAATATTGCTGGAATATTGCTAAAAGCGGCGTAAAACCATACTCGCTCACTGTAATTAGCGTTTCAAGTTCACTACTAAAAATACCCCTTACGAACATTTGTCTACAGCTAGCTTTTGAACCAACTCTAAAATGTTTATTGTCCAGAAAGAATTCCATGCAATTTGACGTAAATATGAGTATCGCACTACGTATCATATCTTTACCTATGTATCGTGATATGTATTGCGTCGTGATACGTATCATATCATGATCTTGCTGTATCGTTTCATCCCGAATCAGTATTGCTGTTTGAAACAACTTTTTTGTTGATATGCCTTACAGAGCAGTTCCAGAGTTTTATATGTGGTAAAATTTGGGGGATAATGCTGGTAGTTTTAACAGGTCTGCAAGTATTCCCTTCAACAAAATCAACTTTTCAGCAGATTTACCACTAAAGTGAACCAGTTGACAGCTCTTGCAGTGTTTAAGCTCTTCAAATGGAAGGCGGGGTTAAAGCATTCACTCATCACGCCGAAGACCCTGGTTCGATTCCGACATGGGTACAATGTGTGAAGCCAATTTCTGGTGTCCCCCGTCATGATATTGCTGGAATATTGTTAAAAGCGGCATAAAACCATACCTCTCTATCTCTATCTCTATATTTTTGTAAGGCATCTCTTTTGTAGATGTACAAAGAAGTTGAGTGAATGTACATTTCCTGCTTTAATGAATTCTGTCTCCTTCCAGGTACGACTTCTTTTTGATCAGCCAGTCTGTACGGCAGGGAACAGTCTCACCAACCCACTACAACATCATCTGGGACAAGACCGGATTGAAACCAGATCACATGCAGAGACTGGCATATAAACTAACACATTTGTACTACAACTGGCCGGTAAGTCCCTTTAAAAAAAATGAAGCAGATGACACTTCTACATATTCAGAGAAGGTGTAAACTACTACAATTTTATTTAGTGTGTCTAGTATGGGCAAGAGGGAAGAAAAAAGTTTATTCCTTAGCATATTGAATAGGTATAGGTTACCAAATGGATCCTCCTGTATTACGGCTTTGTTCACAATATCAGTCACTCGATTGTCTGGTCTAGATTTCGTTGTTACAAGTCGATGTTATATAGCTGGAATATTGTTCAGTGCGTCGTTAAAACAAACAAATGACAAACATATTTATTTAAGAAAAACACCTTGCAACAGGCCGTAAAGATCCGGGGTAGAAGGTCTTCAGCAACCCATGCTTGCCGTAAAAGGCGACTATGCTTGTCGTAAGAGATCGGGTGGTCAGGCTCACTGACTTGGTTGATGCATGTCATCGATCCCAATTATGTGGATCGATGCTCATGATGTCAATCACTGGATTGTCTGGTCCAGACTCTATTATTTACACACTGGCGTCATATAGCTGGAGTATTGCTGAGTGCGGCGTTAAAGAACAACCAACCAACCTTGCAACGATGTAATTTTTTTGGCAATTCTTTTCTTCTTCTCTTCTCCCTCTCCCCGCCCGGCACACACACACCACCAAATTATCAGATGGTCAGCCCCTTACCAAGGATCTCAACTACTATAAATGGCCACTGTGTCTCATGCTTTTTGCAAGGTAGACATGTGAGCAAGTTAAAATTTAACATCACATCAGCAATATTTCAGCTATATTGTGACGAGAGGTTAGACATGTTTATCATGTCAGACTTGTGTGACATACTTGGGGAGGAACATGAACATCTGGAAATCAAATCACTTGAAACAAATTAAGAAAAAAGTCTACTTATTGGTTTAAAAATGCTCTATAGATTGTACCTAATGGAGTAAAGATATGTTGAATAACATAGAAAACTTTCAATGCCTGATGATTATCTAAGTTTCCCCAAGAGAGTGGTCTCAAAATGATAAGGTAGCCTAGTGGTTAAAGCGTTCGCTTGTCACACCGAAGACCCAGGTTTGATTCCCGACATGGGTACAATGTGTGGAGCCCATTTCTGATGTCGTCTGCCGTGATATTGCTGGAATATTGCTAAAAGCAGCAAAAAATATAACTCACTCACTCACTCACGCAAGATGATTAACCTTTTCAATGCAGAATATGCCAATCTATTGTTACTTCTTGCAGGGAACAATCCGAGTGCCGGCTCCATGTCAGTATGCCCATAAGCTGGCTTTCCTTGTTGGTCAGTCTCTTCATAAGGATCCATCTCCATCGCTGTCAGACAAGCTGTTCTTCCTCTAAGGATCAGGAACAAAATGACTTATGAGACAATATGAGAAAAGAGTGCCAAGGACTGTGCAAGGTTTCCAAAGGATACGTGTTCAAAACATGGTAATAGAAGTGAAAGGCCTGTGAAGTTTCAGGGCACTGACAGCTGATAAGATGTTTATCAGCTTACTTCTTTTCCTTTTTTTTCATGAATGAAAGATTTGTGAATGTTGAATAAATTGGTTTGAAAGAACAGGGAATGAAAGTTTTGTTGTTCAAGTGCATTTTTCATTATCATAATATATACGTATTTCAAAGATATGTATACATTGACATGAAAGGCCAGTGAGTTTCACAGGACGGTTAGCTGAAAGTTTTTATCAACATCGTTTTTGTTCATGTATTATTGAAAGACTTGTGTGAATGTTGCATTCACTGGTTTGAAATAACGGGCAGTGCAAGTTTTTGTTAGGGACGTGCATGTTTCATTTATACAAAGCATATGTTAAGTTGCTCTTTGTAACAGAATAACTATTTACCTTGGTCATATCATATCATGGCATGATTGTGAGCCTGGTTTTTGTTTAAGAAGTGTAAAGGAAAATACATAATGGTTTAGTTAACATTTGTATGGTCGTAAATCTGATTATTATTTTGACAACAGTTTCATCATTAATTAAATTTTAGAACATGTTTTAGATTGCTCTGTTGGTAACATAGTTACTCAATATTTTGTAACATAGTTTCTCAATATTTTGTTTAAGTTAAATGTTGAGTATTTTACTCTGTATTTTCTTTTACATACTCATTGCATTGTTTGAATGATGTGAGTGTAAAAATAATTATTTTTATGTACTTTGTAAATAAAATTAAAAACTTGCTAAGTAACTGTTATTGTTTTGTGCCTGTGAATTTGATCTGAGGTGGTCGTATTCTGTCAGTATCAGAATGGCCCCATGGGAGTGGCCTAAATTTGAATGCCGACAGTTACACAGCTTCAGAATGATGTTAAAACCAGGGATGCAGCAATTGTTGTTGCCTAGAACATGGAATAACGCATGCAGAAACCTTATGTCAAAACGAATACTTGTGTTAATTCAAAAGCACTTTCTTCTCTAAAAGTCTCAAGATTATTCGCACATAGAAAAGACTTGACATTTCCGTCTTTCATGTTAACAGATGTTTTGTTTGTTTGTTGTTGTCACACTAAGCAGTGTTAACAAATATTTAGTAGTAGTAGTAGTATTTAGGGAACGACAAGAGACTGGTAGACCTAAGTAAATTCTAGCTCCAGTTTGAAAAACTGCCTAGTTTAAGTTTTAATGCTGAATAACTGGCAGTCTTATATTGAACCAAGACAACTGAGTAAGTGAATATTGATTAACGCCAGTCAGATATATTCCAGCGACTGGTTAGAAATAGTGGAGTCAGGACCTGGCAAACCAATGATTGATATTATGAGCACGTTCCCATGCCGTTATGTTCAAAGGTCAAATCAAGATCAAAATATCCCCAAACAATCTTGATTAGTTGAGTCCAACAACACAATTTGTTTCGAACTCACTCTTGAAAAGTATCTCTTCGATAGTAATGCCAAGTTTCATTCATAAAACGTCGTTTTGTTTCTTGTTTAACACCGCACTCAGCAATATTCCAGCTACATGACGGTGGTCAGTATCGAGTCTGGACCAGACAAGCAAGTGATTAACATCATGAGCATCGATCCACGCAATTGAGATACGATGACCTGCATCTGTTAGCGAGCCTGACCACCCGTTAATCACCTCTTACAAGCATGGTCGATTTTTACAACAAGCATGGGTTGCAGAAGACCTACTCTAACCCGGATTCTCACGGGTATTTAACTTTAGTAGTTCCTGAGTAAACCTTTCCCATTGCAGACACGATGCACCAACTAATAAAAATAACATCGACCAAGAACCGTAACCATACCAGTGCTCGTGGTAAAAGTCTGAGACCTGCATCACTTCGGGCTTTCCTCCCACATTAAGCTGACACGATGTGATATAACTGGAATACAGTTAAAAGCAGCATTAAACCCAACTCACTCACTATTTTTTCATTGATATGTGATGCTTACTCTCCTCCATGCATGCTGCTTATGTCGACCTATATGTCATGTAATCCATTTGCTGAAAGAAACGCTTTTAATCATGTACGGAAGTGTGAACATGACCGCAAATGAAATGTCGTTATTGTTGATGGGACAGCTTAGCCAACCAGCAAGCTAGCTGGATCATGTAGTAGATCGACTTGCTTCTGCCGGTGTTGTGTGCTCACGATAACGATGACATGCATCAACCAAGTCAGCAAGCCTGACCACCCAATCCCGTTAGTCACCTCTTACAACAAACATAGTTGCAATTTACCGCAAGCATGGGTTCCTGAAAACATATTCTAAAATCAAAGCTCATTTATTTAAGGGTGCCCTTTCCCCGGGTTGATTGTATACAACTTTTGGTTACATAATAGTTTGAACAACCAAAACCAAAAAGAAGACTGCCCTCCCACCCTATTTTCAAAAGCTATTGCCTCAGAACCAATTCTTTTATTTTTTGAAGTCTTCAAAGAGGCTCAAGGTCCTAATCTTTCTACTTAATAATTAATATCGTTGAAACTGTCTAAAACCAGACTTGGGAACTCTGCGTTCCAATTTGGTATTTTTTTTAAGACATTTTCTGTAGATCCGGAAGCCTGGATATTTTCCTGTAATGCTGATGTTAAAACCTTAGTTTAGTGTGTGGCGAAATTTGTGATACTATTTTTGAAAGCCTCAAGGACCTTTTGATTCCCCTGCTTTCTGACTGACAAGCATGCTTTATTTCCCCTGATAAATGTGTTGATTGTTCTTGTAAAAGTACATTTGTGGATCCATAGTGTGATTCGATATTTCAGAACCCAAGTGAAATAACAAAGATTTTTTTCAAACAACGCTAACAGCTAATTCTATACACGCCTTCACAATCTCATTGTATCAGGTTTTCAGATCTGTTCATTTTCAAAGACATTGACTGATAATCATCAAAATGTCTTATTGATTTTGTTCCAAAATTAGGGAATGATATAGAGGAATATTCTATTAAATGTTGATGAAATCATGGACATGTTCCAATATGATTTGCTTTGTGTAAAATCACTATATATTTAGCATAATATTAAAATTCAGAATCACAGTATTGAAACCTTCTGTAGAACATGCTTTCTTGCTATACGACTTTAATATTCAAACTAGCTGAAATATTTGATGGTTGTTGGGATCGACTGCTACCACGACTCTGCGAAGAAGGGTCGCTCTGTGGGTGGAGTGATGGCCAGTCTTAACCCGCTTCTCACCTGCTACTACTCACGCTGTACCTTCCAACACAATATGCAGGAGTTGATGGACGGCCTAAAGATCTGTATGAATGGTTGGTTTGACTGGCTGCCTGACATTCAGTTCTTGCTGCGGTTTCAGCAGTGGTGTTTGCATGAAGCTTTAGCATGTGCTTTGAAGATGGCGAAACTGTTCTGGGTCATTGATTGAAACACATTCATGAGTATTTAAAAATATAAGTCTTTATATCCCATTGTGAATATTAAGCATTGTCAGTAATGCAGTTGATTCAAATAGGGCAAATAGAACTTGAAACATTTTTTGTCTTATTTAATCCACTGGCACTACTGAAAATTGGTAGTTTCAGGATGTGTTTCTTTCAAACCTGGAGACCTTTGCCATCAACTGCGTTTTTTCTGATCACTAGTTTGAAACATGCAGGTGCTTTTCTGTAGCTGAGGAAAAGAAATCACAAACTCTGGTGATCATTGACACGGGCCTCTAAGTTGAACATTTGCAACAAGTATGATTACTGGCAGTCAATACCAAATATTGACAATATTGCTACAATACCATTGATATGATTTTAGTGGCTATGAGATATTGCTGATTTGCTGCCTGTTTATTTTCAAAAAAACATTTTTTATCCCTTCCTTCCTCCCCTGTATGTGTACTAAAGGATTATGTAGTAATCAGCCTGTCCGTCCATCCGTCTGTAATCAGTTTTTGTCCAGACGATATCTCTTATTCTTATAGGTATTCTTTTATGAAACTTTAGACATACAAAGACCAGGTTGTCATCTGGTGCCTTTGGCTGTTTAGGAGTTTTTAGAATTTTTATTTTCCCACGTTTCCATGGCAGCATGTTTGACTTTTGTCTCTGTTCATGGTGGTGTTTTTGTCCGGATCCTGCCTCCGAAACTAACAGGCATTCTTTCATGAGACTATGCAAATACGAGGACAAGGTTGTCAGCTTGTGCCTTTGGCTGTTTAGGTATTTTTCAAGGTTGTTGGGGGTGTGGGGATTTGTCATCTTCTGACGACTCCTGTTTAGAAAGGGGCTGTGGGGTAGCCTAGTGGTTAAAGTGTTTGCTCGTCATGCCAAAGACCCTGACTTGATTCCTGACACAATGTGTGAGGCCCATTTCTGGTGTCCCCCACCATGATTTTGCTGGAATATTGCTAAAAGCAACATAAAACCATACTCTGTCACTCCCTGTTGTTTAGAAAGAGTCATTGAACGCACAAAATATGTCGCTTAGAGGCCTATTGATATGCAGTATGATTGCTTACTAACATCAGCTATGCATGTTGCCAGGAATTTGGCATTGTTACCTCTATTCATTCATTTTTTTGTTCATTATTAATTCATGACTGTTTTTTTACACGATTACACGATGGTCGTTGGTATTGACACCAATTACGACTCCGCCAGGAAAGGTCGTTCTGTTGCTGGTGTAGTAGCCAGTGTGAACAAGAATCTGACCAGGTATTACAGCAAATGTACCTTCCAATTCTCCCACCAGGAGTTGATAGATGGGCTTCGGACATCCTTTACAGGCAAGTTGCAATTTCTGTTTTGGCAGACAAAAACGCGTTTCTTAGTAGATCCATGCAAGTTTTCCTGGGCTTGATATTTGGCAGTAAATTACATTGGTTACTGTCTGCAGTGTCATTTGTCAGTGAAATTTCACAATTGATTATTTCAATAGGCTTGCGGACTTGCTTGATGTATGTCATCGTATCCCAATTGCGAGGATCGATGGTCATAATGTCACCGTATCCCTATTGTGTGGATCGATACCTATGATGTAAATCACTGGATTGTATGGTCCAGACACGATAATTTACAGACTGCCGTCATATAGCTGAGTGAGGCATTAAACAACCACCAAGCAACCAAACAAACTTTTTTTTCAATTATAGTAATTTAAGCATCGTGGTAATATAAGGGTTCAAAGCATCACTAATAAACAATGCCAATGCATCATCACAACGCTTCTGCTGTCTACTTATGACTATGGACCTGCATTGCAAAGGAGTAGCCCCCACTTGGACCAAGTGTACAGTCGACAGAATGTCTTTCTCCTGTTAACCAAAGAAAATTTTGGATTTTGTCTAACTCGTTTTGGAATATTCATAATTAAAATGGTATTATGTAGTAATATATATATATATTTTTGTATATATTCAGGTTTGTACAATGCATCATATAGATCTTCTGCGGCTATGCAAATTTGTATATTCTAATGCTGATTTGATTGTTAATGTTGTCTTGAAGGTTCTTGGCTTATCTTGACAGCCTCATTTATCATGTTTATACATTAAACATTGCACTGCCTCCGTGGTAGGGCGTCCGCCCGGAGAGCGGAAGGTCCAGGGTTCAGTCCCCGGCCGCGTTATACCAAAAGGCTGTGCCTCACAATATATTCTCAAAAAACATTGCTTGAGAACCATTTTATTTACATTTTGTTACATTTTTCTTTAAGCCTAATCCTTTGAGTTTTTAGCTGGCCCTGCTTGACTGATTTGTAGTAAAATCACAACTTT